TTCCTTCTGTTCCTGTTGCAGGGACTGTTTTCTTTTGAGCATATCTTTTAGTGTCCATATCTTTCATATTTCTTAAGAAGTTAGCTTGTTGATGAGATGAGTTCATCGGTTCATCCTGTCCATGATATATTATGCCCCTCATGAAAATAAGATTCACAATATTATTTCATATTTTCTTTTCTGTGTTTGAGCCCATGTAAGTATGGAACCACATCCATGTGCTATGGAAAGTTCCTGGATGTGCTATGGAAAGTTCCTGGAAATAACACTACTCATCTTCTGGATAATGCAGCAAATTAGGCATGGTGCAAGAGACGGACGAAAATGGTTAGTTGTACTTTGCCATCTTTCTTTGTTTGCAAATTAGAAAGACCCTCATTTTTTAAGTTACTAGCTGTAATTTATCTTGATTTCTGGTTTGTCACAGGTGACGGTGAGATAGACTTTGAGGAGTTCATCAGGATGATGAGGAGGGCTAGCTATGGCTACTAGGTGTATCTTATTTAGTCCTCGACACCGTCAGTTGGTTTATGATCACCGGACGTGTGCTTATTGACTGGCGTAATTACTATGAACAATAATATTGTGATCTGCTTATGCTTATCCTTAAAAAAATCTTGTTGTGCCTACTTAAGTATGGTAACTTCTATATATGCACAAGATTTCTGTTAAAGTTCAATAGCTGATCGTTTTTCTGGTGGGAGGTAGGTTGAAATTTGTCCAGCTTTCTGAACTCTATTCAGGAGTGTGGAAGTTTTATAGCATGTGTGCGGTGGATGTTGCGAACATCTAAAACTCTCTAATTTCGTAGCTATCTGGTAACGAAGTTCGGTTTCAACATCTGAAACTCTCTAATTTTTCTGGTGCCGCTGTTGATCGCCGTCGTTGTCGTCGTCTCGTCGAGCAAATGCTATCAGTGATCCATCGTGACAGCGTTGGTCGCTTGAACTTATCAGTCATGGTACTGTATTTTATATGTTCTATCTTTGAATTAATTCTGATCATTAGATCTTAACCCTGTGGTTATAAAATTTGAGTGTTCCATGGCACATACACATTGATCGGACATGCAACATACACATTGAGCAGTAGTGTACTTGTTCTTGGGGCTTGCTGAAGTAAAAGCCGGACGACTGATAGAAGCAGGTAATGTCCCACCTGCTGGTATTTGTAGCTCCCATACTAGCCTGTCGCCCTAGGCTCAACTAGTTGTTCATGCACATATAGATAGATGTTCATGCTGCACTAACTGTTCATGCATACAGAGAGAGAGCCGTTCAAGCAAACTATGGATGTGACATGTTCTACTCTTTGGTTTACTACTACTTAACACCAGATGACAAGAACTACGTTAATTAGGCACCATTCACGTTATATATACCATGCGTGAGACAATTAATATTACTCCATTAAATATCACTTACCTGATTAGTTACCATTTTCTTTATACATGTCATCTTTTACTATTAATAGTGATGTCGTCAAGAACTAGGGCAGTTGATCCATGCTAATTATATAAATTGATCAAGATTCCTTTACTAAATTTATCTAGAGCATACACATCCATATACTGGTGGGGTGCTGCACGTCTACATCTTGCTAGAATAGTCATCTCATCTACAGGACGCTAGTCATTTTGTATGAATAGACTTGACTCAGCTAGCTGGTAGTAGTCCTACCTGGTACTTGTTTTAAGGCCATTCGTACCTATGCGGACCACGTATTCATGTTCAGTCTCACTCGTTCACGTGCGGCCGTGCCTGCCTGCGCGACTACCCGCCGCCCGCTGGCGATTCACAGAGCGGCAGAGTCGCAGTCATATGCAGAGAAAGAGAATGAACAGTTGAGTGCGGGTCCGGCTTGGCCTTGCCGCGCCATGATCCGTGGCGTGTCAGTGTCGCGCCTAGATCCGCGGCGCGGCAGCCCCGGCCACGTCACCGGTCAGCGCCTCGGTCGTCGCCACGTCATCCCTCTCGCCGCGCCACCATGCATGGCGCGGCACAGGCGTTCCGCGGATCCAGAGAAATAGGCGCGGGCAAAAATGTTAGTTTTGGAAAAAAAAAAACAATGTTAGTTTTAAAATTAGTTTAAAAAAAAGTTAAAAAAATTCACCACGGAACAACCAGTGCTTGCCTATGCAGAACTGCGAACTTGCTAAGACAAGTACGTAGTATGTAACTGATAAGTGATAAACACCGGCACACGATCTTTCCCCCCAAAAAAAAGAAATGCTGCCGAGGCATGCAATTGAACCACCAAAATATGCAATTCCTTATTCCTCTTTGACGGAATATTTACACAAACAGAATCATGATCGGGATGATGACACGCGAAGCTAACTGTCATCATCTCCACAAAAGTATGTTCATATACATGTAAGAACTATTTATACTCTAAGCTTCTTCAGCTACCTACATCTAGAGAGTAGAGAGTAGAGACGACGAGAAAGAGAGCCTTACAAGATGGAGCAGATACATAGACCACACACCAATAGAAAAAAAGAAGATGACACTCCAGTCCCTGTCGTCGGAGGCAAGACAGGAAGCTACCGCCAGCCACCGGCGACCGGCAGCCGCCAGCCGGTGCTCTTCCCCAGCCCGCAACCGAGGAAAACGACCATGTGACAGGGCGTCTCGGACCCTGCGGATCAGTCTACATCTTCTGGCTCTCTGACCGTCACCACCACCATGCTTGCCATGCTGCAAGCAACAGCGCCGCCCTCGTTTCATCCGATCCGGGGGGAAAAGTCAGGCGATTATCTCCTCTGGCAGTGCCACGAACCGCGTTCGTTTCTGCAAAGCCACAAGGATAAAAATTCAGAAACCGTCAGCAAAAGCGACGAGCCATAAATTTCAAAACCGCTTGCCACTCTGCACACGCATTAAGGGGATAATGATGTGCCCAAAATTATGCTGAGGAAACAAGCAAAGTAAAACGCATGACAGAAGCTACCAATGATGTGGTTTAGAAATATAATGGGCGTTTTCGCTCAGCGAAGATGTCTTTTTATCTTGAGACTGAAAAAAGATGAGCAAAGGCAGAAAAGGAGGGATTGGTGATTGATAATGATAAGGTTAATTGCGGTGAGATCATGAGATGGTGTCACGCAGCGGTCGGCCGTGCTGCTTATTAAGCTTTGTTTAATTGCCTAAGTTGTTATCAATTTGACTTTGAGCTTCCACATGGTAGTGAATGAACGCAGCACTACATCAGCGACGGTGACTGAAGAAAATCCGCCCAAGATGAACTTATGGATGCAAGATGAGCAACCTGTCATATTGTGATCCGTGAAACATTCTCAAAGCGGTTTGGTTTCTAACTGAACTGAAGACGGGGACTCCGACTGCGTGTTTATGTTGCCACCACAGATGAAGTGGGAGGGGGTCACCGTAGTGGGGGATCACTGCAGAAAAGCTAATGAAGACCTTAAGCAAGAGTTTCAGCTGGAACAGGGATGATGTTCATGCTTGTTTGAGTCTCTACTCTCTACCGGTACTGTGAAATAACTGCTGACAACATCGAATACCCAGAGAAACTTGTTTTGAAACTTCAGCAGCAAGACCAAATCTTATTGGCTGTAAATTGAAGTCTGGGACTACGACCCAGAACCAGAACCCGCAAAGAGAAACTAAAACAGAGAATTCAACTATCGATACATACGCATACTCGAGTACGAGAGTGACAAGCAACTGTATTTTGCTTTAGTCACTGGACCTGTCAAAATCTTGAACAATTCTCGCATTGTACCTCACCCTCCGCCGCCGCCGCCTGCAGCCTGCTGGCTGCTGCCAGACTCACAACCAACAATGCGGCGCCGGACCTGACGGCAAATGAAGTCCCTGCCGTGCCACGAACGGCATCAAACAAACTGTCTGCTCAAGTGCTCGCCGCCTCTCGCTTTTTTTACCTTCACGCGATGATCGCAATATCATCGTCCATGGTGGCCGTCCTCGCTTTTTGCACTTTTTCCGTGAGGTTTCCTCGAAAGCTTTTTCAGTGAGGTGACCACCTCCGCTGGCGGGATATGTTTTTGTTCTGTATGTACAACTTGTGTTGCCCAGGACAAAATGAAAAGGTTGGAAAGCTAGCACATCGAAATGACCCATTTTCTGAATTCTAGTGATTTTCTAATGTTATCCATTACAAGCACAAGAAGTCGATTTTTTTTTGTCTCACAAGAAGTCGAATTGGAGATCATAGATTGATCCGGATAAGGATTAGCTAGCTAACCTTATTATTTAAACTCTGAACCTAACTCGGCGAAACACAATCGCAGTTGGATTTGAGCATCAAATGGGGTTGAAATGGTGTTTTCGTTTCTTCTGACAAGTTATTGGCGATTTCTAGTGTAAGCAAGATCCAGTAGTTGATCCAAGCTAGCAGTGACCCTAGCGTATTGGACACACTCCGGAAAACATGGGCCCTGTTCGCTTTGCTGAAAAGCTATGCTTAAAAAGTATTCATTGTTATGAGAGAAAAACACTATTCGTTCGCTGAAATAGTATGACTCGTGACACAAGCCAAACAGGGCCATAAGCCGGTGCCCGGAAGGACACGTAAGGTATCCGAGTGGTTTCAGACAAGGTATCCCTGACCCCAGATTTCACTCGCTTTCATTTCAGACTCAGTTTGTTGCAACGGCACCATTTGACTGTTACCGAGTAAACTGAATATTAATTTTCAACGAGTGCAGTGTTCTGTTTTCATGGATTCGTGCATCATGCTTTCGAGTTTCCTAGTTTTTCATATACCCTTGGACATTAACATCATTTTTATCTTTAAAAATATATAAAATAAGGTTGCAAATATTTTTTATATATAAGAAAAACGCGCTTTTACCATTTTGTGCAGCCACCCCCAATTGCTGGTCAAAAGCAATAGAACTTTACCACGTGCTTCTCACACGATATTATTACATAACAAAAAAAATCACTAGATTTAATTTTAGTTTTATGCAGACAATTGATCTCGAATTTTTGCAAAGGTGTTGTTAGTCATAATTACGGGGCTTGTTTAACAGCAGGGACGAATGGCGAGATGCCTGTGAAATCTAGGCCGTGCATTACCTCTTTCCGGCTGGCCTTGACGTCCGGCGACGCGTACTCCGGAGTGCGGGGCAGCGCGGGCCACCTCTCCGGCGTCCTTGGCGCCGTGGCAGCGCCCGCGGGCATCATGAACCCGGTGCCCCAGTCGGGCGTCGCCGCGAACCTCGGGCTCCGCTCGGGCGTCTGCGGGAACGCGGCGGCGCCAACGCCAACGCCCCAGTCCGGCGTGGGCACGAACCGCGGGCTCCGCTCGGGCGTCCGCAGGATCCCCCTCTCGGGCGTGGCGGCGCCGCTGCCGGAGGCGTTAGCGGCGCAGAGCTGCATGATCCTGGCGGCGGCCTCGGCGCTGTCCCGGCTCTCAGCCATGAGCTTCTCTACCTGCGCCTTGGGCAGGCGCATCCGGAGCCGGACGGGCCCGCCGCCGCCCTCGGAGGCCGTGGAGAGCGGGGACGCCGGCGCCGTGGAGGCCGTGGCCGGGAAGGAGAGGTCAGAGGTGGAGCGGCGCGTGAGCATGAGCGACTCCAGCCGCTCCCTGGCGCCGACGTGGAGCGCGCCCGACCAGGCGCGGCGCGGCGGGACGGCCGGCCGGGGCAGCGCGACGAGGAAGTAGAGGCGGCCGGGGCGGAGCTGCGCGTCGTGCGCGAGCGGGCGGGCGCGGACGCCCAGCAGCTTCACCTCCTCGGACTCGAGGAGCTGGAACCCCGGGTGGTCGCGCAGCACCGTGCCCGCGAACGCCGGCGGCTTCACGCGGAACGCCGTGCCGTCCAGCTGCATCACCTTGGCGCCCTTCCGCCGCCCGCCGATGCTGTTGCCCATTGCCGGCCGCGCGCGGCTGCTGTTCTGTCTTCTTCTTCTGCTGCTGCCTCCCCGGCCCTTCGCTCCGGGTGGGTGGGTGGTGCGCGCGGATGTGTTTCTCTTGGCTTTGGCCTCCCCCTGCTCTTCTTTCGCAGCGCAGCTCGCTTCGGAAGTTCGGAGGTGGTGTTTGTGCGTAGCCGCGTAGAGCGTGAAGGAATTTAAAAGGGGAGGGAAAAAAGGCTAGGGAGGAAGGGGCGGCGGGGGTCAAAGGTGACGGTGAGTATTCGGCTCAAGGACAAGGAAGGATGTAGTATAAATCTTTTTGTAAGGTAGTACTTCAACTTCTTTTATTTGCGAGAGGACAAAGAAACGTATGTTAGGCCACACCTCCTAGCTAGATCGCATATGACTGAAATCACTGGGTTTTTTTTTCCGGTCGATACGCGTGAACGTTTCATTTATGGCCTATTTCCCGACGACATTCCTTCGTCAATCCGGCTTATGCGTTCTCAATGACAACTTTCAAATGACAACTTTCAAATAGGTAGCTAGATTGGGCTTAAAAATAATAAAAAAAGAACATTGTAGTAGAGAGTTATTTCAAATGTGAGAGAGTTATTTATAGGAGATCGAGATAAATTAGCTATTTAGTAGTTGTTAGCTATTTGATCTTTCTCCTGATAGACAATAAAATTTTCTTAGAAGAATAATTATTTGGGAACCATCGAGGACGCCCTTAAACGGAGGAAGCCGCTGGCATAAAGCTGGATGACGATGGCGGTAGGCCGTAGGCGTAGGGTGGGCGTGATCTTGAGATTACTGATAAAAATGCATCTTTTAGGTCGTTCTCTCCTATACAACTGCGTCATTTAAAATAAAACAAAATATGACCCTCAATGCATTAGTTTCGTTTTATTGTTTATAGGCATTTACTACGTGTTTGGATTGCATCACGGATTTGCTCCGGAGCCATCCGATTTCTAAGTCCTAATCTATCAACTTGTTTGGATTGAGGTGTAGAAAGATGTCATCTAGCACTTGGCAGTTAAGGCTGCAGTTCAATTTTCTAGAATCAACTCTCACGCGCATGCTGAAACCCAACGAGACAAGTTTGTCATAAATTATCGCTCTCCCAGTAGGGGGCAACCGCCTCCTGTTTTCCTTAAAAAAATACCACTCTCTTATCTTATTTCCATTTTTTGTCTACTAAGTTTTTTTATAACAAGCAAAATTAACTTTATTTCAACAACAACTAGCTGTTAGAGCATTTCTAAGAGATTAGTCAAAAAGACTAACTAAATTTACTGATTTAGCTACTCTTTAAAATAGATTTGATAAAAAAATACTAGAGGACTCCAACAGACTCTGTAAAACCAAGAGGCTGGATGGCTAGTGAGATAGGCTATCCAAAATTAGAGAGCGAATGAGATGTGATGAAGAACTACTAAATTTAAAGAGTCATTTACAGATTTTGTTGGAGACGTTTTCCTTAAATAATAGCTAAATTTAACTTTGGAAAATGCTTTGGCTAATCTCTTGGAGACGGAGAAACACTCCCAATTTACACAAGTCAGTGCCTCCCTTAAGGGGCACGAGTGTACATGAGCCTGATTAGAACAAGTTATGGATAGAGAGGGAGTATTAGAACAGATAGCTTGACAAACCTACTTTGCTAAAAGATGCGTCATGTTGTTTAGATTCCTCCCAATCTTAAAAATCTTGTAGTTGTTTGCTGAATTACCATCGATGAACTTCTATGTAAAGGTTTTGATTGTCCAATCTGGCGGTGAGGAATGGTCTGAGCCATTGAACAAAGTCACCGGTTGTTGATTATCCGTGAGGTAGTTTGGAACCTGTATATTCATCAGAGAAACCACTGATGCAGCTAAGGTTATAGTTGCTGCTTCTACCATCAGGACTGACTTGGTGTTGCTGATTCGTCCCTGTATATAAATGGTTTAAGTTGGTTGTGCCTGGGTGTTTATGATGAACACACCAAGACCCTGAACTCTGGAGAATTGCTGAGCCTTGTCTGGGATCGTTGAAGCGTCCAAGTAGCATCTTATGCCTGGCAGAAGCGCTGGAAGCAAAATCCATCTATTAAGTTGCATGCACCAAACATAGCTTAAGCTAATAAGGTAAGTGTGCAACATGCAGTCATCATCCAAACACATATAAGATTAAGATAAACTCCAAGAGACTCTCTCCATACCTATCCTAGTCGCTAGGAGTATAGATTTTGCTGAAAAAAATCCTCTCCAACTTCTATAATTGATTATCTAAATATAGCCATCTTCTATTTCAAATTTCTCCCTAGCCAAATATAGAAAATAAGAATAGATATCTAGAGTGCACAAAAAATATAGAAAAAATGACAATCTTTGCTTGTGAACACCACTCAAACGCTGTATATGTCGCTAAACACAGCCAACTACGTGGCCAGTACCATTATGAAATTTTGGTTCTTTGCCAAAAGGACACCACATCCATTATTTTAATAATTTCCATGCTCAGGAGAGAGAAAACTTTTAAAATGACGGTTGGTGCCCTTGGACCTAGGATAGACCCGATTCGGGCAACTTAGTTGGTTGAACCCGACCGCTGGAGATAAAACTTAAAAATAATAGTTTTTCATAGCTTACACCCACACCAGTGGGCCCCCAACGCAGGTGGTGGTCGGGTTTGCCCCTAGGGACCATGAACGACCACAGGATGGAACACGCACGGCCGCCGAGGAGAGCATGCGTATCCGTGCTGGCACGAGCGTGGCCGCCGAGGAGGGCTCGTGTGGCTGCCAAGGGGCTCGGGGAGGGAGTGCACAGTGGATGGGAGTTTGGTGAAGAAAAGATAGAAGCTCGAGCGGATAAGGAAGAAGAAGGGTATTATAATCATTTCTTTCTTTTTATCTACCATGTGAAGCTATTTTTGCCAAACGGGTTATCAAAATAGCTTAACTTTATCGATAAAGTTGATCATAGATCGAAAAAATAGCTTTACTGATAACGCTGAGCTGTGCGAAACGGTACCTTACTCTCGCGCGCATGTTGAAACCCAACTAGAAGTGCACCAAACATACCTTAAGCTAATAGGGTAAATGTGCAATGTCTGGTCATCATCCAAGCACACCTAAGAAATTAACGGATATGTCAGCAATGTATCAAAGGCACTGTAGTGCTGAATGGTAAAGAATTGACGATCAAAATGTTAATTAAGCATGGCCTTGTAGAGTAGAATGGACAGTAAATTAAAGTTGTGAGCGCGCAGTGAGGGATCATGCATGTGAGGAATATACATATTACAAAAAGCTATTAACATTTAGTAGTTGTGTGAGAGCAGTAAATAATTTTAAATTTAACTGAATATACACATTAAAAAGCTATCCAATTCAATCTACTTGGTTTTTTATGGTCCCGTTCTGCCGATGGGTAACCGTATGTATCACTCACTGCTCTCTCAGAATCGTAGTTCAATTCGTAGTCACAGTCTCACAGATTGAGGCATTGACAATTTGACACTGGAGTTTCAAATTGCAGGTGCCGCCGGTCGGTCGTCCTGCCTGCCTGCCACGGCGGACGCCAGATGGTGTCTCGAGAGGACGGACTTGTTCCATTTCTCCGCCTGTCACGGCACGGACGACGAGCGTCCGGCGCCAAGGTCAATTTACGCCGTGACGGCCGGGTACAGTGCCGGCCCGGGCTGATCTGATGTCAGCACGATCGTTTTGGTTTATATAATCGTGGATTATAAGTTAAAATAATATTTTTCTCTTACACCAAACCAGCCAGTCGTACTTCTGACTTATAATCCACGATCGTGTTTTGGCCGAAACGAACAGGCTACGCCGGGCATCGATCAGCGCCGGGAGATCGACCGAGTTTGCCGCTGGCGTGTCGCGTTTTGGGTACACACTCTAGCCACCCACTACTAGTTGTAAACGGAATCTCTAAATTTCGGCAGTAACGGCCGCACGTACGTTCCTCTACCAAACGCCCTGCCGCAATCGTCACACTGACCCATATGACCTACCGGACACGAGGTGACTTTTCTCAGGATCGATCGTCCCTACTGTCCCTAGGCCACGTTTAGTTGGTCCCCGCCGCCGGGTTTTATGGAGGTACTGTAGCTACAATAGCTTTTCGTTTTTATTTGATAATAATTGTCCAAACATTGACTAATTAGGCTTCAAAACGTTTGTTTCGTAAAGTACAACCAAACTATGTAATTAGTTTTTGATTTCGTCAATATTTAGTACTCCATGCATGTACCGCAAATTTAATATGACGAAATTTTCTTTTTTCATAGTGTCAAACTTTGGATTTTAAATAAACTAAACAGGGCCCTAGCTGCATACTGCGTGCATGATATCTGCTGTGCTGCATCGTCAAGGCACGCCTCCCGGCGAGAGCAGAGAGAGAGAGAGAGAGAGAGAGAGCAACTAACACATGGCCGCCGCGGATGACGCAGTGCTTATGCCGGCGGTCGTTGGGTGCTTATCCGCTCTCAGCAATCCGTTTGCCAGGGAATCTGCAACCGTTTCACAATGAAACAAACCTGCAAAGCCATCATCGCCTTGGTTGCTGCTTCCCTGATGTTGTTTGCCTCGTCGTTTTCGGCGGTTGCACTTGCAGAGACGGCTCCTGTCGTGGCGGCAGCAGCATCATGCCATTGTCCGCTCCCTCTTCTTTCCACTCCCATCAGGCCCCACCTGTGCTGTCGATACAAATCGGCTGGCTCTTTTTGCCTCTCGGAGCCTGCGCTGTGGCTCTTATTGCCCCACCCTGTCCGTTCCGCTAAAAAGCTAGGCTTTGTTAGAAAAAAAAAATGTATCATGACTTATAAGTTCAAGGGAACATACGTCTCCCAGGTTGCCTTGTTAGCTTCGGGGCTCTCAGCGTCAGCGTCGCGAAAACGCATGACCGAGACGCCGTGCGTGGCCGGTCAGCCGAGCAGGATGGCGCCATGGCGGCGGCGGCAGCGGCGACCTGGCCAATCAGTCCGCTAACTCACGGTTGGTGGAGAGG